GAATTTGGAAAATAAGCGATTGTCCGAAACCAGTCGGCAAAAAAGCGACAGTATCTTTCCTGTTACCATATAGTTCAATTGCGGACAATTGTTCTCTTTGATAGAGTTGATGCCATCGATGTGTTTTAAGACACTGTCCACTGCTGACGCGACAATTTCCTTAGAAATCATTTTGATTTGATTTATGGATGGCGAGCACCGACACTCCGATCCGATGAACTAATCAAAACTAAAATGGCGCGTGTCACGTGACTTTGTTTACTAAAGATAGCGTGGGCGTTTGATTGACACTCAACTCATTAGTATTCCACCAATCACAGCTACATCTACTTTCTGGATGTGCGCAGTCAAATTGTATAGGAGACAAGCTGGAGTCTCGTGTGGCGATAGCGATAACACCGGGACGAATGGTCTGGGGTAGAACTCTGCATACCAGTACATCTCATCAATAAAGTGATAAATCAAACCATAGTACAGGTAAACATTTCTGTTCAGTTTCTGCATCATTATATGCATTTTATAAATGTTATTACTTAAATAAAATTATGGTAATTTTACTTGAATTTGAAAAACAACAACAGATTTCTGAGATTGCTTCATGTGATGGAGAATTTGGTGAGATGCATGTTAATGGTTTGCTGACAACCTCCAGTCCATCCACTATCTTACATCAATTAAAATGCTTTGTCAAATAATTTATTTGTCAGTATGAAAGATCTGTTTGCCAACATTGTTAGTGAATTTTCAGATATACTGAATATTTTTTACTGAAGATTTATTTTCTGATCAATTTTCATATTCACAAGAAAAATGAAGTGAAGAATATTATTAAATAAAATTATAATGCATGCATTGGTCAGGTCTTTTATACAGTCCCGTTTTGGAGTAGTGGGTATAATGGCCTCATTTACTGAAAGAAAAAAAAATCATAAACAAAGAATGACAAAGATGACTGGGTATATGTACTTCATTCATCACACTGTACATCCATGACAATTATATATAATAAAGTAATGTTGGTTATACATGTGTATGTTGTTTTGTCTTTTCCTTTTTGTCTATGCATAAGTATCGCATATTTCGTGTTAATAAAGATTATGCGTTATATATGTCTCAACAAACAATAATCTAACTTGATGTCGCTGAATATTTTTATAATGGTTTTCCCACAAATAATTATATTTTTCATCTTGTTCCAACCACAGTATTTTATCAAAGAACGCTATCCATTTTAATTTTCACTGTTTTGCACAAAATTGCTGCCAGAAATTCTAAATATATAAAATAAATTTCTAGTACAATGTATATGCAATAAACATTCTATTACGGTTCACTTTGTTGTTATTTTGGTGTGGGAGGGGTACTATTATACTTGGGTGTTAGCACCAAGATGATTCAAATGCATATCTAGAGCGTCACCTAGTGGCAAAATAATATTCATAGTGTATTTGTTTATATGTAGTTTTTTGATCATTAATGATTTATATTTTGAAAGAGAAATTGGTTACCCCATTAATTGAACAACTACACCATAGTTGTTAAATACGAAAATAATAGGAACATTCAAGAAAATCTCTGTACTGTGAATTGTCTATGGCAATGGCATGTACCTTGTTCTTGCTTCAAATATAGTATGATTACCAGTTTTTTAACCACTGATATCTCAACCACTTTTGCGATTTCAATGAAACTAGTATATAGTCAGGCCTGGATACTCCATGTGTGTGATTATTTCTGGGTTGAAACCTGTGCATATCAAGTATCTAATTTACATCCTGTGAAACAGCCAAAAATTTTAACTTTTTGATCTAAAACTAGAAGCACTGTCACATTTTGTCTTTCTGGTTCAAAATTAAAATTGAATTCATTGAAAAATAAAGAAAATGTGAACAAATTTGCCCCATTTTGAGCAAGAAAAAAAGGGTTGAATAAAAATACTATTACTTTTTTATGAATATGTCCTTTAGAATTGTTATTTTTTCTGGCTCACCGAATCAGCAAAAATTTTTCACTAGAGTAGTTTCATCAAAGATTGAGTCATTGTAATTATTTGAATATGTATTAAACTGAAACTTAAAAATATTATGCATTTCTTTGATTGACTGCACATTCATCTTTTGTTTTGCAGAGGACTTTGTAGCGCATTCTGCCAATGTCAACTGTTTAGCTCTGGGCCCAAAGAGTGGCCGAGTCATGGTGACTGGAGGGGAAGACAAAAAGGTTAATATGTGGGCTGTAGGCAAACCAAACTGTATCATGGTAAGTTTAAGAGCATATCTTTTACCTTCTTTTGGAAATTTTGTTATTCTTACACATTGTATATATCTTCAAATAATGTAATTGTTAACTTTCTAGTTTTTATATCTTGACAAGTGGATTTGTAGCTGTTACATGCATACTGCTTGTTATATGTCAAATAGTAGTTCAGAATCTATCTGTGCATAACACTGAATACATCATCAGCAGTAATGTTTAAACTGATGTATGTTTTGATTGAACTTAAAGTACCATTGAACCATTGCAAAAGCACTTTCTACATTAGCTAGTATTTGTCTTGCAAAAACACATAAATCAATCATTGTTGATTTTTTCAGCTTATATTTTTATTCCATTCAACTGTTTGTTTCTCTCTCTATTATGAAAAAAATATAACACATAATACAAATGTATTTCAAGGACATGGCATTCACCTCGGCGTATATGTTTATTTACTTACAGAGTCTGTCAGGTCATACCTCACCAGTTGAAAGTGTACGGTTTGGTAATACTGAAGAACTTGTGGCAGCTGGCTCCCAGTCTGGAACAATAAAAATATGGGACTTGGAAGCTGCAAAAAGTAAGTTGTGTAAAATGGAATCATTGTGACTAAATGTCTACAAATGATTTTGTAAAGTAAAACACTATTTTCAACACACTTCCAAACTGAACACTTGAGGTGATCATCATTACATGGAGTTGCTGAGTAAATCTGTCAGATGTGTTTGTTAGATCTTATTCCATCAATATCATCAACCAATGGCTGAAACCCAGGAACCTCATAATGTGCTTTTGACCTGATAGTCATATTATTTAGGTAATTTGCATAATACTCAATTCCATCATGCTCTTTGTGTTTCTTCACAACTGTTTGCACAAATACTTTGTTTGTGACGATGTGTTAATCCGTTTTTAAAAAAGTTACTTGTCTATCATTGCAACAATTTGCTACTCATTCGGTCTAGTTGAGCGAATTGGTTTCACACAGCCCGTTATTTGTCTGTTAACTTTAACCAACTCAATGGGAAAAAATTTACTTTGAGTACTATAAAAACAAGGCTATATAAAGATGGTAATGTAAAATCTGTATTAGAAGCCCCAGCTTCTATTAAAATGGTACAATGCGACAGAAGGGATGCAGCTTCTATTAGAGCATCTACATATATGAGAATGATGAATTTTGGGTTCTCAGTTATTCAAAAAGAATTGGTGCGACTTCTATTAGGGATGCGGCCTCTAATACAGATTTTACGGTAATATTTAAGGCTGCATAGCTAAAAAGAAACCAACTACAACCTAGACACATTGCAGCATGTTTGCAATTTGCCAGACAACACATTGACATGACTCCGGCACAGTGGGCCAAGTTATCTGGTTGGACAAACCAAGGTTTACAGTGTTTTATAGCAATGGAAGATTGTATGTATGTCAGAGACCAGATGAAGAGTATGAGTCAAAGTGTATTAGACTGGCAGCCATATTTGACCCCCTAAAAACCTACATTTTATATGTGTAGAAAATTATCTCCAAGTTTTGCAGGCTGATTCTATTCAAACTTAAAGGCCCAATTCACTTGCCCCGAGCAAATGTGAATTGGAGGTGTGGCTATGCTAATGAGTGTTGTTAATCACTTGCATAGCCTATGACGCATCTTGTTTCAGTGGTCCAACATCACATGACTTTGTTTGACAGTAGTTAATTATTCAAGATTAGTAGTGCGTCCCTTTCCCCGGTTTGTGTTTGTGAATTTTATCCGCCAGATCTCAGCTCGTACACTATTTATTGTAATAAATACTACACACAGTCACTGCTGTGATATTTATAGTCACATGCATCGACTTTGGCACGACATATTCAACATGTAAGTTCGAGAAAACGCGTTTTTACCAGAGCTGTTTACTACAGCATGACAAGTAATGAGATAATTTCTATTGTTTAGGAGCGTATTTATAGTATACCTGGGCCTTTAAAGTATGGGTAACACCTGTTCGCATTCAAGGCACATTATTTATTTTTTTCAGATTTTTTTTCGAAATTGGCTTGCGGCCATTTTATGCATTAAAAATACTTATTTTTGCTTAAAAATTAGGATTACAATTACTAAGTTATTTAGATTTGGTACAGAGGCAGTATATTATTTCTCAAAGATGCAAGTTGATTTTGTCAAGATTCTATGCAATATGGCTGACCAGAAATTTTCGTCTTTTTTGCACATTTTGGCTCATTTTTGGGACATTTCTTGCGGTCCGGTTAGGTCCAAACTTGGTTCACAGACAATTGTGTTCTAGCACTTTACAATTTGGTTTGGTTGTCTGGTTGCCATTTTGTTTGACAAAAATCTTGAGTTTTTATCTATTTTTTTATATCTCAAATTCTTACTGCCCAGGTAGGTTGAAACGTGGTACACAGGCAAATGTGTTTTAGCGCATTAATGATATTTGGTCTGTGTCACAATCTAATCAAACATGGTTGACTGGCAGAAATTTTGTTACAAATATAAAATAAACTTTTTTGGACATGCTTAGGCTGATTTGTTTTAAAAATGGTATGATAGTTTTATAGTTGCCTGATGTATTGACTCAAAATGGCTGACTGGTGGGCATTTGTCATATATCAAACATGCAAGAACAGAGCGGGCTGTGACATTTTCAATGGAATAGTTAATTGTTGTAATTACTCAAGGCCACATTAATTTAGTTTAGGAGTATCTAAATTGATTTTAGAAATTCGTTGTATAAGATTTCTCATGAACTGTACAAAACCGATCCAAAACTCTTTTGATGCATTCCAAGGGTTGGTGAACGCAGAACTAGTAAGAGTAGGCACAAAGTAGAATAAAACTGTAAATGGAGCTAATAAATCTAACCAATATTTTGTTTGCCCTAGTAATGTATTCTTTCGATACAAGACAAATTGTCTGACCCATTTACATTAGTATGTATTGTGGTGACATCACCTCCAACCCCTGCATGAACAAGTTCTGTGTTAACAAGGTTTCTTGTGTTACTCCTTTTGAGACAAGCAATAATTCTTATTTATGGTGAATGTTTTTTTGACAGTTGTTCGAACTCTGACCGGTCACAAGTCAAGTATTCAGACCTTAGATTTTCATCCATATGGGGAATTTGTGGCTTCCGGTTCATTTGACACCAATGTAAAAGTGAGTATCCTTATCTTACTAGCTGTTGAACACTATGTTTAGCGTGTTTTTGTGAGAATTTTTTGAAAAATTGTGCGTTTTGTATTGATGTTATGTGCATTCTATACCAGACAAATTAGACCACCTTTTATCTTCAGGATTTATCATTGTATTCAATTAATTTTGCTTCTATCTCCAAATTATACATGACACATATATATGTGTCACTTCCCTAAATTTGTTTGTGCCATTGTATTTGATTCATTGATAATTGTCTGATTTGTTATTGTGTTTTGTTCATTTTTGACAGTGTTTGTCATTTTTGTCTCAAAAAACACCAAAATTCAACATTTGAACAAACATGCCTAGTTCGATTTTACTTAATTCAGTGTTGAAATCACTCATCTTGGATTACTAATGGACGTCATTTTGTTTTGCATTTTCATTAAAAATGGCTAACCTTTTACTCAGATATTCATTTAAAAATTTTTTTAGTGACCATTTTAATAGTATTGTTTTGTAATTTAATTCATAAGGGCCAACTGACAGCCATATTGGTTTTGTTATTATATATTCTTAAAATTTTGTTGGATATACCTTGACAAATTTTGTTCAAAGTTGTTACAAAAGCAATACATGATTTTGTATCTTCAAATGATAATTCAGTACAATACAAACAGGGACTATATCTTTAATGATGACATGTTAGTATGAGGTGATGATGTTGATTATAAGATTGGTTGAAAACTGGTGTAGTATCAAATGTTAAAAGCTATTGTGACCATCAGATTTTTTGTGTATTCTGTGTCAACTATATTTTTAATTTTTTCATTTGAATACTTTAGTTGTGGGACGTTAGAAGAAAAGGTTGTATATATACATATAGAGGGCATACAAATCGTATAAATAGTGTCAGGTTTAGTCCTGATGGCAGATGGGTTGCATCTGCAGGAGAGGATGGCCTTGCTAAGGTAAGACAATTCTTAACTTGTTGTAATAAAATAATACTTTGAAAACAAGTCTTAGCACTGAGTTGCTTCTGTTTGTTTTACATGTATGTGCCATCTGCACATAAAAAGAAATTTTGACATGTGGCCTTTGTACTAACTGCCTATGACTTGCTCAGACAAAGCTTGAACTTCAAAGGCAATTTTTAAAAAAACTTGTGGAAGTAACCTGTTGAAAAACTCTTTACTAAAAACTTGGTGCATATATGCTCTGGACAATTTGATTAGGTTTTGGTAAAAATACATGTATACTAGTATTAATTACCTAATTAGCTAATTTCTAGCTGTTCCATGACTGTTCCACTGATATCTAAAGAACCATTCATTCGATTTTGATGAAACTTGGTACATAGATGCTCCATGCTCATGCACAGATTTGATTAGTTTTGGGTAAAAACCTGTGCATATTAATTACCTAATTTGCATAATGGTTAGTCAATTTTCGGCTTTTGCGTTGATATCTCAAGTACTAATCATCCCTTTTCAATGAAACTTAATATATAGATGTCATAGGACACTGCACAGACCTGATAGTTTTTAGGGTAATATCAATACATATTAATTACCTAATTTGCCTAACTAAACAATTTTTAGCTTTTGATATTTCAAGTAGTAATCATTACATTTCATTGAAACTTGGTACATAGATACTCAAAGACTATGCAGAGATCGATTTTTTTTGGTGAATATTTGTGCATATTAATCAGCTAATTTGCATAATTAGTTAATTTTCAGCTTTCCCACTGATATCTCAAGTACTAATCACATTTCAATGAAACTTGGTACATAGATGCTCTAGGATAATAGACAGACCTGATCAGTTTTGGGTTAAAATCTGTACATATTAATCAACTAATTTGCATAATTAACCAATTTTCAACTTTCACACTGATATCTCAAGTACTAATCACCACATTTCAATGAAACTTGGTACATAGATGTCTAGGACAATGTACAAACCTGATTAGTTTTGGGTTAAAATCTGTTCATATTAATTCCCTAATTAGCATAATAATTCATAATTTTCAATGAAACTTGGTACATAGATGGTCTGTGCGCAGACCTTATTAGTTTTACACACACATTTTTTCATATTAATTTCCTGATTTGCATAATTAGTTTTCAGCTTTCCCATTAATATCTCAAGTACAAGTAATTTTGAATTGATTTTTAATGTGTCTCCAATACACTCAGCACATGGAGTTCTTTCTAAGCTTTCTTTGATTTTTTTTTATATATGTATAAACATATACTGGATGATGATTAAATTAAAAATTATTAAAATGATTGTTTTTTCTTTTTG